AAATTATTATAATCTTGCAAAAATTGTTAAATTATTAAATTTATCGAACATTTCGGACACCGTTTACATAGTGATCTTTACAGTTGACCTGATGTGCAATATTTTTTTTGGCCTAGGACCAAACAGTTCTAAATTTTCATGTAGCTACTGTGTTGCCCAAAATCCTTTGTGACACAAATTTATTTTTTAAAAAGCTAAACATTAATCATGATTAAATTATAACTTGATAATAAATAGACATGTGACAATACATATTGTGGTAGAAAACTGTATATATATAACTATAGTTTACAAAAAAAGACTTTTACGTTTGTGAAAACTGTATATATATATAACTATAGTTTACAAAAAAAGACTTTTACGTTTGTGAAAAGTGAAAAAAGTCAACTTCGTAAATAACGGAAGGTTTCCTGAGGCGAAAAATATAAAAATGGACATGGGGTCAAACCAAACTTATAAAAGTTTATAATTAGTTTTCAAAAAAGTTAGTTTTTCTGTGTGCCCTTCCGGCTCCCTGCCCCCCTATTTAGGATAATTTAAATTTAAGTAGTGCCAGTCTGGCACTGCCAGAAAATAGCACTCAACATTTACATTTATCTTTTTCTCAGGTGTACTCATGGCCCTATTACCCATTAGGCAGGCAAGGCAATTGCCTTAGGCGCCATAAAGAAATAGGCGCATTGTCCCCAACCAACTAAAAATAAAAGTTCTCAAAAATAAAAAAATACAATTATGAAAATAATTTATTCTTTACGGTTTTCATTATTTTATAAAAAATGTGGCGTGCTTTGTAATAACGCGGTGTAAAGCCGACAAAAGACAAAGCTTGCCGCAAATTCACTTTTTTAAGGTGTTTTTTAATATTTGGTAGTTTTTGGTTTAGTTTACCCTTTTTTAACTACTTTTTAACTATTAAGGGCCGGTTTATCAATATCTGGTTTAGTTCCAGTTAGTCTATCTGACAGTTAAATTCCATATCGATCGTTCTGAGAACAATGGTAGGTATCCATGGAGATTATCTGCCAGATAACTAACTGCAACTTCAACTGGACATTGATAAACCGGCCCTAAGTCAACTTAAACTTTACCTAATTAACCAGTTTAAGTTTATTTTAACTATACAGGGTGTTTCATAATATATGCGCAGGACTTCAGGATGTGATAGCTCATCCAAAAAGATGAAAAAAGTCGCTATTAACTTACTCTCTAAAATGCACAATTTTCGAGATACAGGGTGTTGAAATTTTAGAAAAAAAATCGTTTTTTTCGATTATCTCTGGAACCGTTTGTCGTACAAAAAACAGCTTTTGTAAGCATTTTCTACTCATAATAAGCTATGTTTTGTGCCAGAAAATTTTTTTTTTTACTCATAATTGGTGGAGATTTTGAAGGGGTAGCGGGTGTTTTTCTCCTCAACTTTAACGCCCCTGAAAAAAGTACGGTTTTGATATGTCCATTCGAACCGCCAATGTTTTCTACACAAAAAAGGTACTCCTGGTCATAAGCTCCAAAGTTGACCGTTTTCGAGAAAAATCAACTTTTATGTTTAAAAACATGTTCAATTAAAAAAAAAAATTGTATTACTAATTAAACAAAATTTATTTTAACGTTAGAAAAAGTAACAAAACCAAACGATAATTGCAAAATTAAAAACCGTAAATTTTTCAGGGGCCTAGAAGTTGAGGAGAAAAACACCCGCTACCCCTTCAAAATCTCCACCAATTATGAGGAAAAAAAATTTTTTTCTGGCAAAAAACATAGCTTATTTTGAGTAGAAAATGCTTACAAAAGCTGTTTTTTGTATGATAAACGGTTCCGGAGATATTCGAAAAAAACGAATTTTTTTCTAAAATTTCAACACCCTGTATCTCGAAAATTGTGCATTTTAGAGCGTAAGTTAATAGCGACTTTTTTCATCTTTTTGGATGAGTTATCACATCCTGAAGTCCTGCGCATATATTATGAAACACCCTGTATAATTATAAATTACCAAATATGGTTATGTACTCTTGAAATGAAATAGTCAAAATTCTATTATTTGAATTAGTATCAGCATTGTTAAATGGTTAAAGTTTAAATAATTTAAGATCTTTTACTGTTTCTAAGAGGAATAAGTAACTAATTTCTTTAATCGTTTTTAATTCTTGCGGCCAACAACAAATTATTGTTAGCGTTAAATTTATGCATATAGGCTCCATGGCCCATAAAAACTAAGATGCTAAAAGTTTAGCTCCAAACAGCAACACAAAAAATATATTCAACTTTTATATATTATTAACAATATTGATTGACAGATATAACAAAGTTTTAAAAAAGTAGCAGTGGTGCAGCTTTTGGACATCCGTTTGACAAGTTAGGGAGCCGAGTTCAAACCTCAGCTGGGTCAAAACTTTTTTAAATTCACTAATTTGACTGTTTTATTCGGTACAATTTGACTAATTATTAGTGACTGCTGTCAATTATGACTTATAATTAGTCATTTTTGACTTTTTCATTTTAAGAGAATATATATATATATCTATAGATATTACTTATCGACTAAACCAAAATATGTCTAAAAAAATAACTAGGTACTCTTAACCATTTTTAAATATTAAAATTATAAGTTAATATAACTTTATGTAACTTCTAAAATAACCTACTTTTTAAAATATAAGTAATATTACTAACTAGTTAAATATTTTAAATATTAACTCTTAAAATAACCTTAATTTACCTATAAACCAAATATTTAACTAGTTAGTAATATTACCAAGGTTTGTTTTATTAGTTACATTATACTAAAAAATAACCTTTGAATTTACCTTAAGGTTATAGCAACCAGTAGCCTACTGGCAGTAGGTAAATTTAAAGGGTTATTTTTTAGTTAATAGTAACCTTAAAAAAATGTTAATGGTTGAATACAACTAATGGGTTAAAAAACATGTTTAAAAAACCGTTATTTTACTTTGATGTTGGTTATTTTACTTAGAATGCTTGTTATTTAACCAGTTGTGCTACTTGGGTAATGACATCTTGCAATCCTTTGCAGAAAAAGGCACTTATAAATTTTAACATTTACATTTTTTATGAAGATTATATTTATTATGTTTGTATATTATTTATGTTTTTAATAAACCTAGTTTTTGATAAAAAGTATTTTAATTCATACGGGATAATTTGGTTAGTATGCCCGGGCGCCCTTAAGATAACAGATTGGGGTCTCTGATAAGCTTTTCTAAAATTTGCCCTGGGCCCCGTAAGTATAGTATCTAGTAATAGGCGCCAAATTTTAAGTGCCTAGGGCGCAGAAATGCCTTAAGCCGGCCCTGGGTGTACTTTAACTAATAAATTTTGACACACGCACTATAGTTATAATTCTATAGCAAATTAAACTTTTCTGTTATAGATCCGATATTGACATATTATTCAGGGGGAACCAAGCAGGGGTTAATATTATTTTTTGAGTTACGTTATTGGGTATTTTGGTTCTTTATTTTATTTTACACCAAAAACGCCTTTTTTAAAGGTCTAAAACAAATCGTTTTCAAGAAAAATTGATTTAAAAACAAATCGTTTTCAAGAAAAATTGATTTAAAAATTTTTCGTTCTGCGTTATAAAACGTAGTTTTCTTATAAAGCATTTTTTATCCAATGTTCAGGCAGTTAAAAAAGTTTTTGTTTTATAGCCCTTGAGCACTTAAAGATGAAATAAACTAAATCATAGCAATCTATTTATTCGGTATGGCTCAAGTAGTACCATTTCTTAATAAAAAGAAGAAAATAGCAAAATAATCATTGATAAGGCATTTAATGCCTTATCAATGATTATTTTGCTATTTTTTATTTGGTAATTTTACCTATTATTTTATTTGGTAATACCAAATAAAACAATAGTTAAAATTTCAAAAGTTATAAAAAAATTGAAAATGAAAAAAAAACACCCTGTATCTTGAAAGCTTAATCCCTTACATGGTGTAAGTTACACCATAACTGTTTGTAAAAAAACTATTATTTTTATGCATTGATATTTTTTCCTTTATTATATTATTATTATATTATATCTACAAATTTTTAAAATACCTATTTGAAATGAATTAATAATTTTCTAAAAACAACTTTTTGTTTTTTTATTAAATTATTAAAAAAAAAAAAATTGGGATTTCATGTTAGTCCAAAATTGTATAATAGCGAATTTTATGCCGTTTTTATATTTTTATTATTATTAAAAATTGTTTGAATAATTAATTTATTTTCAACAATAATTTTATATAATTTTTTATGTTGTTTTAAAAGGTTTATTACTAAAAGTTTTTTCTGTCTGCCTATTTTTATGTGCATTTCTATTTTTATGTGCATTTCTAAGATATGATATAAGTTTTTTGAATTATTTATTTTAATTACCCAGTTTTTGGACTCCCTTAAAATTTCTGCCATTATCAATGAGAAATATTATAATTGAAAAAAATTATATACTTTTAAATCAGTTTAAGTAGGTTCTTTTCTTATTTTTTAAGGTTTTCCATATTTTTTAAATTATTATAAATTTTTTAAATTATTAAAAATAATTTTAATTAGGTATTATAAATTTAAGGATTTACTTTAATATGGGATGTCTATTATTTATTGCCGTTTATAAAATTTAATAGGGGTTGTAGAATAAAGTAGATACCTATAGTTTTTACCTAAATAAAAAAATAATTAAAATTTAATAATTTTTTTTTTAGTAAAATTGCTTTTTATTTATAGGTATTTTTTTCTTTATTTTTCATAAATGCTAAAAACATATTTTTTTTGCAAAATTCTTATTGCAAAACTGATCATCACAATAATTAAAATTAAAACATTACTTTTATTGTTTATAAACCGTTTTAAAAATCCATAAAAATGTAAAATATGCAACCGTTACACTTTTTAAATCCGCCGCATAAATTACCACTAACAATGTTACGCGCGGGGTTAGCAATATAAAATCTAAACAAACAAAACTAACTTAATTGTCTACATTTAAAAATCCTCACCTTGCAATCACATCCATGTTTTTGAATACGCTCTAGCAACAAGACATTGGTTGAAAAATTGCAAAAGTATATTTCCTCTTGTTAAATATCCTCTTTCAACACTAAACACAAGATTAAGTTAAGATAACCTCCACTAAGTTAAAAATAATTATAAATAATAATAATAACACGAAAAGTCACTTGGGGAAAAATACAGTTCGACGCGTTCATTCACTTTGTTAAAAAGTTTAACAACTCGCGTACATTGTCAGTTAACCGCAGTTAAACACTTTACTATTTTGAAGATTTTGGTAGAGTACTTCTTGATTATTTCGGAACCGCGCTGCGTGCTATCAAACAGGCAAATGTGAATTTGAAATTGCAGTTAGGAATCATATTGCAGCCCCACCGCTTTGCTCCGGCATTGGCGGCGGTCGACCGGAGGAACTCTTCTTCTTTTCTTCAGCGATGTTTTGAAGCGACCAATTTGTTTATCTGTTGTAATTTTTTATGCCTTGACATTGTAGAAATGTTAATTAAATTAAGGTATGCGAATATCAGCAATTTTTTTTTTCTAATTAGATTATCACGATATTTGTCATTTCTGGGTGTTGTTTTAAAATCGTCATATTGAAGAAGATCGGTTAAATGAGAAAAAATATAGATAAATTTGTATGCCAAATAAATGAACTCGTATACATGTATCACATTTCTTTGCTACTATTTTTGAGTTACCATCACAAAGTCACAAATTGGCTGATAATTTTTTCAAAAACGAATTTTGGTTTTGAAATTCTATTTTAATATACTTCTAATTACGCAATTATTCTCTAGTTTAACCGACCTTAAAAAAAGATACTCATACATAGAAGGATACTTGGTGCAGGGTGTATATCGATATGTATTGGATAATTTGATATTTATTTTAAATATAAAATAAATTTAAATATTTTATAATTTGGTGTAAATACCAAATTATAATAACTTTTTTCTACTCCCACCTTTAAAACGCCTTTATCGTACATGTTTCATGACACTAAGTGACCTTTTAAATACACATTGACAAGTTGTGGCTTTACGGCGCTTTAGTCACGGGCTGAAGTTAGCAACAGGTTTTTAGTCACGGGCTGAAGTTAGTTTTAAGTTAGTTGACAGTTTTCAAATGTCATACAATCGTTAAAATAAAGTACCTTTCTTGTAAAATAATACTAAATGTGAAAATTATTTTATTATCTCAATACAAAAATATTAAATAGTTTCTCAACGCCAATATTTGAAAAGTTTATATGAACATTGTACTGACCTTTTAATTTGGCCGGCAGTAAACTATAACTTAAATTCGGGCACGGACTCTACTGTAAAGTCCTCATAAAACATTTCCTTTACTTTCACTGTCAATTTTCAAGATACATTTCGATTTATAATCTGTGTTATACAAAAATTTGACCCAGCTTCCCCTATTGTTTCATACTGGCGCTCTATACAAATTTTTGAATTAAATCATTTTAAGATAATAATAAGTATTTGTCGTAGAAAAAGTATAGTATGCACCTAGTTTAAATACTTTTCTATACACTCAATAATTTAAGCACTAAATGAAATACGTGTATAAAATGGCGTTTATCAAACTTGAAACATAATATACTATTATCTACTCCTACATTGACGAGCTGTGACTTTATGGCGTTTTAGTCACGGGCTGAAGTTAACAACAGTGACTTTTGGGCATTTTGGTCACGGGCTTTATTATAAATTGGAAAAAAGTGAGGTTAAATTCTGGTGACAGTTGAAAGATTTTAAAATTTTAACAAATAAAATTGGCTTTAAATTCTGTTTTGTGTTCGTCGTAGATAAAGTATAGTATGCAACTCGTTTATAAACTTCTCTAGGCACACATTTTTATTAAACACTTGCTCGCAAGCTTTGCTCGTGCTTAATTAAACTCGTAAGAAATGGCGTTTATAAAACATAATACATAATATACTATTAACATTAAGAGAACTGTTTAGTAATGATTACTGAAACATTAGTCTCTCAGTTTTAAAAATTACTATTAATATGGTTTTTGACATAAAAATTTGTTATTAAATCTACGATGTCATGTATGTCACTTAAATAAAAATATTTTCCCTGTTACACATTTAGCCTAAGGGCCCACAGTTCCTAAATCCGGTCCTGAAGACATCTTACCTTGCCTTACTAACACATAGCTAATGCCATTATTATACTAGCGGGTATCTATGCGAAAAACATACCAAAAACAAAACCAAAAGGAAGAAGAAAAATAAGAATCCCTTTTACAAATTAATTGATACATCGTAAGATGTTGCAGCCGTGTCTGCAGACACCGTGACACTCATGGTGGTTTATCCACTCCGCAATTCTCACGAGCCGTGAGAAGACCTCTCATTTCACACTAAGGCAGGGTTTTCAACCCTTTTACAAACACATTTTGCGGCCGGTTTTATCTCCGGTCCATTATCTAATTTAATTAACCGACACTACCGCTAAAAACAATGGTATAGGATGGATACATAGACTTTTGTCTATAAGATAATGATGGACAATCCATCAGTAAGTTATGAGAAGGCCTTTGGCAAAAACACCATGACAAATAGTGTGTACTTTGTGTTTAGATTATAAGAAAAAAATAATTGCTAGTTGTTTTTGTTTTTCTAATATTTGCATTTGAGATGGCTGGGATTTTACTTGGGAACCAATATAATGGGAAATTGGCATAATCTATTAGGTACATAATAAAATAGTTATTATGTGCCTATTAATTCTTTATAATAGGGTATACCTTTTTTGGTACACAAGAAATATTCCCCAATAAATCAAACATTGTAATTTTTGTATTTAGTGGAGAAATTAATATTTAATGACCACGATTTTTTGAAATATTACAAACGAATTTGAAAAATTCGTATATCGTCCTAGTAAAGTCAAGGAAGTCAAGCCACAAAACCATCAATCCGCGGATCTCAGGAGAAAAACATGCGCAAAGATTTTCTGTTACAAAAAAGTAGTATTTTTGGTTTTATACAGGTAAACAAAAAAGGAATAACTAAAAGTGATACTTTTGTACGAAATTTAATTCCATATAATAGTATATTAAATAACTAATGTCATAGGACGTCATTTTGTCGCACGCGGACAATTTATAAAACGAGCGACGAAGGAGCAAGTTTTGTAATGGACAAATGCGACAAAAGGTCTTATGACATGAGTTCTTTATGCTATTTTGCAAAAATTCTATAAAAAAATTAATTTTATACCTTAAATTTAATTTGGTCGAATTTTACTTTAGATAGTTGGTATCACAGTCATTGGTTTGACAGTTAATACCAAAATCGATTCGCCATGCCGTCCTTAATTTACTTATTTACAATAAGCGGCTGTAAATGTTAAAGAAGAAAAAAAGGATTTTCTTAGGTGTTAAACAAAATTGATTGCCAGAAAAGTCTCCTAAGTAATAGAAAAATCATAAAAATATTATAACCAATATGCAAAATATTATGCTGTTTAAAGTAAAGCCAACCATAAATCAAAATTTTGGGTGGGATAAAGTATCTCATCACAGCACTGAAAGCGGTGTTATAATGAAGTCATTATGAACGCAAAATAGATAAAGTATTTTTACTTTTACCTGTAACCTAACTGTTTTGCGGTAAAATGCAAAAAATACTATTATTTATACACTGTGCACAGTGGATTTTTTGGAGTATTTCCTATAGGCGGCATCTTACGCTACTACAATTTACAGGTGCAATATGTAGATGATTAAATGCTCTTTAAAAGTACTTCCAGCAATTTTACTGTATTTTGACCTGTACATGTACAGGTCAAAATACAGTAAAATTGCTGGAAGTACTTTTAAAGAGCATTTAATCATCTACATATTGCACCTGTAAATTGTAGTAGCGTAAGATGCCGCCTATAGGAAATACTCCAAAAAATCCAAATAAAATTATCTAGGAGCAAGAATAAAGGCTGAAACTCTAAGGGATTTTTTTTTCAATATGCATGGTGTTCCAGAAGTCGCGCACCACCTTTAAGACAGATCTACAGACCAGTGGTCTAGGTCTAGATCTAGGATTCACTATAGGGGTCTGAGACCCCTATAGTGAATCCTAGAAAATTCTTGAAACCAATTCTACATTCACCTCTATAAAAATGAATTAGTCAAAAATGACTAATTTAATAGCGGCTGCTTTTTCACAATAAAAACACAAACCGTTACGCAAAAAAATGTTATTTAAATTGTTGTTTAAAGCAGCATCTCAGAAAATAATGACAATTTAAAATGTATTATTAAATAAAAACAAGTATTTTTTCAAGAACAAAAACATAATAATAATAATAATACAGATAAAAAATATTATATAATAGGGTGATTTCGCCCCCACAGCAAAATATTAATTTATTAATGTCCCCTAAATCCAAAAATATCGTTAAAAATTATGAAAGTGGAGCAGTTTTTGAGATATAGTCAATTCCATATTAAATAGAGAACTGACTATATCTCAAAAACTGTTCTACTTTTTTAACTTTTGACATTTTCGGATTTTGGGGACAATTTTACATAAGAATTGGCTGTTAAATTTTGGTACAAATGAAAAAGCAGCCACTATTAACTAATAAATTAGTCATTTTTGGAGAGAAGGTTGTGCGAACTTCTGGGACATTAATAAATTAATATTTTGCTGTGGGGGCGAAATCACCTTTTTGTATATATTTTTAATATTTTTAATCCGTATTATTATTATTATTATTATTATTATTAATATTATTATTATTATTATTATTATTATTATTATTATTATTATTATTATTATTATTATTATTATGTATTTTAGTGAGTTCTTCAAAAAATAATTGTTTTTATTTAATACTACATTTTAAATTGTCATTATTTTCTGAGATGCTGCTTTAAACAACAATTTAAATAAAATTTTTTTTTGCGTAACGGTTTGTGTTTTTATCGTGATAGGACACGATTACGTACGACAGAAATAATTGAAGTGTGCTTTATGAGAATTTTATTTGAAGCAACGAAGAG